CACTATATACATACACACATTTTCTTAGAATTCTTACATTTTGGGGAAGGGAGGGTTTGATTCCACCAAATGATCGGGCCTAAGGTGGAACAAATAGTTCATTGAGAAATGGGTATAGGTGATCTGGATCGGTATAATTTGTTGATAGGTTATTCTTACTTGTACCGCTTTTTAGAGCTAGAGCTTTGGGGGAGACAAGTTCTGCGGACTGTGCACAGTGATGAACCCTTAAAAGGGTATTCAATGCCACCGTCTGGAATAAATGTTCCTCGTTGCAAACTGCTCAGTGTCGCCCGTCTTCTCTATTTAATCTCTAATTAATTGCCTTCAATGTAATTGAATGTCCAAAATATTGTTTAAAAAGACGAGTATGAGGGTCGATTTTAATAGTGAGACACGATCACCAATACAAGATTATCGGACTTGCTCCAACCAATTTACGTAACTGCAAACTGGCTGATAGATGAATTGGATGCAGAGTACATATATGTTATGAAACACTGAATATCGGATGCAGAATTTACAGAATCTTATCGGGCTGTGATCATGCTCAATAAATTCAAAACCAATTGAAAAATGGATCAATTTATATTGCTCTTTGGCAATTTACATAAGGAAGTAGTACAACCTCATTTCAATTCGACCTGATTAATGGACTTTCAATGAAACTAGGTCTTTGATGTGACATGGTATATTATAAGAGTTGAAAGGATGATGGACCAGATTGTTATAGAATAACCATGCTATTTACATATCAGTTATGGGCAGAAACTTATTCAAACATCTTTAAGCAGATAAGTTTTTTTTTAAAACGAATCCTGTTTCTTTTTATAATTATATATATTGCTGGATTTCTATGCAATTAAATTCAGAAAACATGATCGTTACTCAACGGTAAATTATGTGGTTCGGGCAGCTGATAAACTTTTCACATGAAGAAGTATATCAATCATAAGTGAGCAAATATTTCATAATGAATATTATATTAAATTATATGTACGCTACTACCACTTTTCAGCAAAACGTACCTTTCTACCTTGGGCATAACTTTACCATTCATTTACCAAAAAATAATTCAAATATCTGGTAAACCCTAGTTGGATATGTATTGACTGATATTTTGTTGAAATTGTTAAATAGATTACACTGCTTTATCTGTACCAACTAATGGCTTCGACGGTTACATTCAGACAAATCCGCCAATTTCATTAAAAGTGCATTGTAAATAATATTACCTGAATAAGGCAAAAATACTATTTTCTGACCATAATCAGAGTGTAATAACGATTCCCATTAATGTTATAATAGCAAGCCATGTAGACTAATGGACAAATGATGTCCATTCAGTGACAGGACAAAAGGCTTCTCTGCGAGTACGGAAGTAGACTGAACAATAAAATATGTCACAATTCGCCAAATATTTTTCGAAAATAAAAAAAAAGCCAACGGCCAATAAACATAATGTGGACCCTTTGTACAGGATGTCAAGTGAACATACCCAATCTCGTAGTAACATCATGTTTACATTGGTCAGTTTATCATGTGTCCGTTTACATTGATGAACACAGCCAATCTGTCAGTTACGTCATGTGTCTGTTTACATTGGTGAAAATACCCTATCTATCAATTACATCATGTGTATGTATACATGGGCGAACATACCCAATCTATCAGTTTATCATGTGTCTGTTTACAATGGTGAACATACCCAATCTATCAGTTACATCATGTGTCTGTATACATTGGTGAACATACCCAATCTATCAGTTACCTCATGTGTATGTATACATTGGTGAACATACCCAATCTATTAGTTACCTCGTGTATGTATACATTGGTGAACATACCCAATCTATCAGTTACCTCATGTGTATGTATACATTGGTGAACATACCCAATCTATCAGTTACATCATGTGTATGTATACATTGGTGAACATAACCAATCTATCAGTTACCTCATGTGTCTGTTAACATTGGTATTATTATTGTAGGTCTCAAGTACTGGTATAGTCATACCACTAAGTATAGCCACTTTCCACAATATGGTGTCTTAAATTGCTAGTTTCATTACTAATGAGAATGGTTAACCATGCCACTAAATGCTGGTCGTGATGGCTTGATGGATAACAGCTATCAATTGAATTGAATTGAATGGAGTACTACTTTTCTGCACCATGTGGGCTAATGACGGGATAACAGCTTTCAAGTGTAGTTGTTAAATACATTTGTTCCTTTAGTAAGAACATATTCCTACGAAATATGCATGATTAGCAAAGGAATGTACAAATATTTCCCAACTGGTAAGATCATTACGTAAGGTTTACGTACTACAGTGTCATGTTCGGTATAACATATTTGTATTATATCTCTATGATTGTTTGATTTTGACTTTGTGTGGTTTCGACTTCTGCTATCTATCCATTAAACGGTTTTAAGAGGTTTCTTTTATTCTTTACCATTATATGTGTTTACAGGTTATGACGTCATAAAACCTTTCACCTTGAATGGTATTTTGGATACTGACGTCATAATCTGGGACAATTTCCGTCGAATGAAAAATCGGAATGACGCAAATAAAGGGCATTTTGTCCTCGATACACATAAATTTGTTAAAAAAAACTCTGAAGAATCCCTGTAATTACCAAGAATCAATTTAAATGCATGAAGCATCTTGCCAATGCAAAGATCAAACGTTTTTTCAGAGTCACAAACTTTAAGCCAATTGAATGTCCTTAAACCTTTTAGACTTTAAACATCAAGGCAGCCTCATTACTTGTGACTTGTAGAACATAAAACCGCTATAAATGTTGGATACTGAGGATTTTGTTTGAGACATCAGCTTGGTGATTAGTCTCCCGTGTCCAATTAAAGATCAATCAAGGCCGAGTTATGTCCATATGATCTTGTACTTCGACGTGCCGTTATGAAGATTATGAGAGTATAGAACACATTTTCTGAACCAGAATGGTTTATAGGTGGCACGACTGTATACCAATAGAGTTGCGTTTTTTCTTATATACAACCGAAATTACGGGTAATACCGCCAAAATATACAATTTTATTTGTACTTATTTTGCATTACGAGAAACATGAATATATAAATCTGATGAATTCAATATCCACACAGACACCGTTATCAAGAGCTGAATACATGTATTTTGATTTGAAAAAATTGAAATCTAATTATCTTATATAATCCATTTAAATTCATGAATTTTATTTACATAATTCAGGAGAATTTAATTTGATCTAAATTCTATTTTTTTTTCTGTATTTCTATAACGCTCTACAATTGGTGTATTGATTTCTATATTGCTTTACAGTTGATGTACTGAATACTATTTTAACCGTTTTATTTCTATATCCCCCCCCCCCCAATTTTAAAAGCGAATATTTGTGTTATTGATAGATATACATGTATTTCAATGATACACACACTACGAACAAGCAAATGCAATAATGTTCTTCAAGGACACAAGCATCAGATGTTCTTGAAGGTTGAAAATACCCTGCCCTGTTAGCACTAATTATTTCATTCAAGTAGTGGGACTCAAAATATATAAAGCTTTCGTTCCTTGAACTCCGATTCAAAGCTTATAGCTTTATAGTTTATTGAAACACCTGATGATTATCAGGAGGAGGAGTCCACTACTGTACACATTTTCCTCTTAATTTTGATATGCCTTGGACGTGATCTTGATTAACGGAACCGTCTGGCTTGAAAAGATTTTTATTTAGTTTAGAACATACGTATATCCAGCGTGTCCATGAGTTTAAAATCAAAATTAACCATCGACTCATTTGATAAATATATGACGATACTGGACTGAGGAAGAAGTGGCTTGCAATGGAAAACCAGTCAGACAAATTGTACTTGAAGCTGATTTATTTACGCTTAACGACACCTTTGCTCGCCAGTTAATCAACCAAAATACTTAAGACAAAACCTTCAGAAATAATCCGTTGGTTAGCTATTAGACATTTTGTCCATTGATGATACTAAAGAAATCTCTGAAGAAGAATTACGACTTTTTTTTAAACTGAAAACCAGTCTGCTATGTGTAAAGATATGGACCATTTACAAGCAAAACGTAACTGTAAAATGAATAGATACTTAAAGAATCCACAACTGGGAGACACATAAACTTAAATTATGGTTTTATATTTCCCATATATTCTTTCTTTGATAACGTTCATTTGTGATTTGTTCTAGAGCTAATTTTACGAGCACGACAAGCGAAACAGATCATAACATTAGATTTTATAGATGCATTTTATTATTGAAATCCCAATCGATTAAGTGTATGTCTGGATACGTTATTACCAGATGTGTATCGCATAAATTCAAAACGACTAGCTTATTTCATTTATGAACAATTGAAGATAATGAGCGAGCATTAGGCCCTCCGTCGCCAACTTGATCGCAGTTAATCGAATGTATGCTATGAATATGGTTTGCACATCAGCCATGCTATTATTACGCGAACAACGGTGAATACCAATTATCAAAATAAGCTATTCTGTTGAATAAAGGTGCCCAAACAATATATTTTGTGGTTGAAGCTAGATTTTGACTAAAATATTAACTTAAAAAACATGAATTAATAAGATAGCGTCTCTGAGCAGATGCCTAATTTACAACTCTCGTTTTTAATGACATAGTGTTCATGTAGAGGTTTGTACACCACCAGTAAGACAAAGGACTAGTGCCATTACTTCTATTAATAATACATACGTCTTCGGACTGAAGCAAACAGATGCCTAGTTTACAATCTCAGTTGTTAAACGACCTGTAAGGTAAGGACCAGCCCAACTTAATTCTTGAAATACCCTATATGTCTGCGGACGTTTTGTTTACATGCATACCAAAAATAGTGTTCCTCTTTAAGGTGGTACATGGTCATGCGAACGATACTAAGCTCTTAAAATGCAGTATAATCTGCGACCTTTGCCTTTCAAGAACGTAACTGCTAAAACGACAAAGCTGTAAGGACTTACCTCCAAAGCTAGGCCGTAGTCGTATATCATATCCTTGTAGTAATCCGTCTATAGTGTCCGTTACGTTACGGAATCTTTCTACTGTGTCTTGACATCTAAAATGATAAAAAAAAAATATCTTTGTCATTTGCTCAAAGGAAAATTCCACCAGAAGAAGAATAGTTTAGCTTTATTGCCACTACAATTTCAAAGTATACCTATATATATATACGTACATCTAAATAAATTATTAAAGGGACATTCCGCTTCTTTCGTAGGTCGAAAATTTGTTTTGCTCAAATTTGTGAAAACTATAACCAAAATCTAGAAAAATGTGCCCTTTAACATATCTGAATGTTTTCACTATAAAAATTCAGTCGTTAAGTTTTTAAGCGCCAAAAATATTTAAAAACATTACGTTAGGTTTTTATGTTCGTTATACTTTTTGGAAGCTGTTAAAAAAACTAATGTATGGATTTACTGAACGCCTATTTGTAGAGAAGTATGTCTTCTACGTATTCTAAAAGTTTCAACTAAATATAACGAGACATTAAAATACCAAAACTAGGTCAAACTACTTGATTAACAATTAATACTCTTCGTTTTTAATCAAACATTTTAAAACGAATTCAGTTTGTTCAAAAAGATACATAGATATAAATAGCATGTTTTAGAAATATGTTTTGGTATTAATATTTTATAATTTAAACATTTTTCAAAAAAGCGGAGTGTCCCTTTAAATCTTGTCATAATTTATTTGCAATTGTTCTAATGCAATGTCCTGGAAGAAACAAGATAAAAGGGCATTTTGTCGAAAAAATGTTTTATTGATATATCACTAGCTAGTGCATAATATTCTCATTTTATTTTTATAGAAAATACGTATTTACAAAGAGTTTTTTCAATAAACTTTACAACCTTTTCGCACATAAATTTGGATTAAATTTGTAAAATACCGTACTGTCTTTAATGGATACAATATCCTGAATTGATTTGGTTTAGAATTGAATTGTAAAATGATCAATACTCCATAGATAACCTCTACGATTCAATTCACGTTTTCATTCCAATTTTTTTTTATAGGTATCAATTTAAATCTGTGACTTGAATCGTGCTTTTGAACATGTAGGAAAGTTGTTGTCTTAAAGGGTATAACTTGATTGTCTGGGATCTATGATTCATGAAATAAGAATCTATTGCAAAAGTATATGAAGTATATTACTTCCAGAATAGTTGTTATGTAGCAATACAGTATTTTCTGTAATAAAACAGAAACGCGTGAAAATTATTTATAGTTTGTCATACTATTAAGTTCGTTTGCATCAAGACGACAATTCAATAGATTAGCTTTTCATGTATGAAACATTGAAGGTGGGTTAAGGGCGGCCGTGGACACCTACAAACAATCCATAATAATGCTGATACAATAGAGTGGACTCTGGTCGACCTTGTGACTACCAGAATCAATGAGCAACTGTGGTTTCGACTACTGCTATACCAAGTGGTGGCATCTTCCGAGAATCTGATATAACTTGATTGAGACGACCAAAGTCGGATAGGTGGGCTAATATTTTTTTTTTTTTTTTTAATCTTTTTAGGACAGCTAAAGGTTTTTAGTATCTGTGAATTTATATTTGTAATGGTATTGCCATTTATACGATCTTTGATCCATTGAGCTTGCAAACTCGCAATCATAAAGATTAGCTGGATATTGTTAAATAATATGAAAAACCGTATCTTAAATCTCGCATTGACTTGACAAATGAGAGTGAATAGCAATTTTCTTTATTGCCATCATAGTCTATTAAATAGCAATAAATCTGTGTTATGTATCTAAATTGCAGTTTGATGAGTCCATTGATTAAGTTACAATTGCATGAAAGTATCCAATAAGAGAAACATTTACTGTATTATTGGACGGATCTAACAGAGCGAAAGTAAAACGGTGAAATGAGTACTGTCATTTCAGATTTGTATTGAATTAATTTTAATATCCTGCTTTCGTGGATGAGTATCTCCATATATAAGGAAATGGTTACGAATAATACAAATGAAATTGCCTGAAAGAATCTGCTCATTTATGACAAAATTTCAATATCCTATTCAACGGGGTAAATTAACGTTCATAGAATTTTTAGGAGAATAGGAAAGTTTGGCATGCTGTTGAATCTATTGGCAGATATGTAGAACACCCCATGTGCAACGAAATCTTTAAGTTCCTTATCTCTGAGCGTAATGACTTCAATCTGTTTGTGACGAAGTTTCAATATCCTATACAAGGTAAACCAATTTTCAAGGAATTTGCAGGTCAGAAGAGAGTGTGACATTGTGCTTCCAACAGTAATCTCACAATTGTGAACGAAGCAATTGAACTTTCAATCAAGGGTGTATACCCCTTTAGAAATCCGGCAAATTTAGTTGTTATCATGATCATACGGTAATTGTTTTTGGCAATCAATTTAGACATCAGCCCCGGTTTCAGCAGTTTTATTCACATACAAATAAATATGGGATTGCCATTTAGTACCAGTGTATTTTTCTCAACAGTGGAAACGCGTAGCAAAATATTTTAGTAGTGCATATCTTTGTCTTTTTGAGTTGCGTTTTCACCATCAACGTAGTGCAAAACGTCGCTTTTAGTACAGCTAAAGATCTGCAGTTGCTCAGTACTACACAATTAACTAATCAAATAAACATCAAAGCTAAAAAGAACATAATAGAAAACGCAATTGAACACGGGTTTGGTGTAAACTAACACGTTACCATGATTGACGGTTTATTCAATTCAGTAATCCCAATGAAATAAAGAAGAAAAGATAAATGAAAGGATGATATGGGTTTTTATTATCGTTAGTTTCCGACAATGTAACTTTCCAATTAAGTTAAATTATACTGAACTACGCTGTTTGATGTAACATGCAATAACTGAGCATGCAATGGGATTGATTATTTATGAATCGAATTTAATCCGAAAGACTTTGAAAGGTAGATATCATTTTGACTGAGAAAAGTGTATGATTGTCAGTGAAGATACCCGAAGCAATTTCAAATGGTAGAAAATTAAAGTATAAAAAGTTAAACATGCAGATATTATCTCCCAATCGTAGGACAATATTGACATCAATAGACAAAGTGTAAGAACACATGTATGTTGGTAAAAGGGGATATTTTCTTTTTCAAATATATAGGTGTTAGAGGTCCCTTACCTCTAACGTGCGCAGTAATCCACGAAAATTGAAATGATGGCGACATTTCATATTTCAAAGCCTGTAGATTGTCACCGTTTCTCGGACTGTATCAAATTTTGATCTTCGTGAAAGTGAAGCACCAAAAGGGAACCAAATTGATAAAGGGCCATTCTAGCAAATCGAAGAAGCATTTGATTAACCGAAGTCTCGATGTTGCTGACAACATTTTCGTCAGTACGAATTTTAAGGCTACAACGTAACGCGATCTATTTTGACAGCACTTTATATATAAGTACTTGTGTATATTGATGAGGTCTCAGACGAGTTCTATTTATATGAATTTTCGTTAAACGGGTTTTGAATTATCGCCCTTAACTTTGCTTAAAAAAATCAATATTGGCTTGTAAATGCGATAAAGACTTTAGTTTTAATTATGTTTTTATCTAACATTTTTCCATATTTTTATTAACAAGATCTCGAATGATAAATAACAATTACCCTACCAATAATAGAAATGTGGAATCGTTGATAAAGCCCTCATGAGAGTTAATTTATCTAGATTCTGCAGAACAAAACAACGAATGTGCGAAGACAGTAATAACTTGGAGAGAAAAGTACATGTTTATGACATTAAAGCCATTTTTTGTCATAAGCATGGGTGGGTGAGTTTATTTGGGTCTTGAATAATTGTGAATAGTCTTCAGACGTACTAGAATTTCAAGTCCGTTCTCACATGTAGGAAGAAGTCTCAAGAAAAGATGACTCACCATTTCAACCTTCAAAAGCGGAGGATACGCATAAATTTAATTGTTTTTGGGCTGTGACCTGATCTGAGCTAGAAAATTCCCGTTTCTTAGACTGAGGTATGATAAGTCGAACGGATGGTGAAACTGTCCTTTTAAGTCATCGCTACCAGCAATTTGAATTTTAAATGGCGATATCACACGTTCAAGTAATCTATTAGAATCAATGCGACTTGATGGTAATACATTTATAAAATTGTGGTATTTAGCATGTTTAACATTCTATTAATTCAAATATGGAAATAGATACATTGGTATACCATTGGAATACCAATTACTGTTAAGGAGATGTCTCATTTATAATCTTGACGACATATAATTAGATTTGAAGCGCAAAAGGTCATGGCGAACTTTTATCTTTAACACATTAAATCTTCATAGGAAGGATGCGAAGATGACATGACTAACGAAGATATCCAACATAGAGTACTCTTATAATGCTTGTCAAGTTTGTGTGCAATAAAAAAAACACTTTGCTGAAACAGCAATGCTATTTCGCCATCTTCTTAATAATAGACTATATTCTTCCTAAGAAGGAATGACATGGTTTCAACGAATTGATCTCATCCTCAAATTGGTTTCAAAGTGACCAATGGTCAACCCCCAATGAACCTCTCGTGAAACTTCCGTTATACTCAAGTACCTAACGACGATATTTTGACTATATAAAATCAAATAAAAAGTACCTTTAGTTAACAATGGCTACATAGTCGAAACAATGTTGCCTTTTTTCGTTCTTGGGGTTAATGTTCGTTAATTTTGTCCTCAATGGCACCACAGTTAAGCAATTACTTGAAAAATACCTAGGTTTCTTTCTCTTTTTAATAGTCTAATTAGGCGCATATTGTTTAACATTCTTGACCTTCAATATTTTCAAGACAACTTTTAATTAAATTAAGCATACTTTTAAGGATTTTACTTTCTTTTTTCAAAGATTAAGACGATGAATTTTTAATTCTTTTTTGTGACGAAGATCGCATAGATGTTAAGAGGTTAATTCAAAATTTAATCTTGCCTCTCACGCAGACATGAAGGAGTCAAATTAGAGCCAATTCAACAAAAGTGATAATTACATTGTTACGTTTTTAGCATAGATTACGTTCACGAGAATCTTTTTTTGTCGATCGCAGTTCGAAAGAATAAATATCTATACGATA